TATATATAAATAAGGCATTTAAGAAATATTACTAACAACAAATCTCTGTTTTCATTTATTTCTTTTTTGTTTAGCTTATAATAGTAATTGAATTGAATTAAACTAGATATTAATAATATATTATAAGATATAGTATGAATATATTATTAAAAATTCTACAAATATTTGCAAATTTAATTATATACATACATATGTAGTGTCAGTGTATATTTTTTTGAATCTTAACATTTTATGAATTATTCTTTGTAATTTAATTGGTCGGAAACTCTGATATTTTTTCTGAAGACCTTTTACAATTATAAACTAAGATTTATGGTTACATTACACAATATTTATAAACCAATTAAAAATTAATATTGTGCAGGCTTTTATATGCTCCAATTGTTGCAGGTATTTGATCATTATTGAGGGATTACAGGAATTTATTTTTATATTTATGGGACATGTGATGATTCAGCTAGATTAATGATCATATATATATATAGATATATATCTATAGAATGCATTTATGTGGCAACTGAGGCGTTCCCCTTGCCACATTCTTTATTCATGATGACAACAAAGTGAAACAAGTTGATACTATTTTTACAACAGTCGCAACTCTCACTCTCTCCCATGCTCACGCTCCTCACGCTCTCTCGTTCTGGCAGTGCCTCACTGTCCCTCTCTCTTTCTATTTGTCGCTCTGATTGACTGTGGTGTTTGTCAGTTTAGCACAACAAAATACGTAAACAAATGCCTACTATCGTGTAAATAAACAGAAACGAATTATATATTCTCAACGCAGAGAGAGCACTGTCTCTCATTCTCTCTCTCATGCTCTCTGCTGCTCTCTGGCCCGCATAGAGCGGCGACTGTGACGGCAGCAGAGCCAAAACAATCAAGTGAAAGCGCTGAGCATATCTAAACTTATTGTGCTGTATTGTATACAACAACTTTCATTGCTTCTCAGCAGATACAGATACAGATACAAATACAGATACAAATACAGATACAGATGCAGATACGACAGCGCGTACGTTGCACAAGAGCCAAAGTGCACGGCGCATGGAGTCAAAGAGCGCGGAACACGGAGCACGGAGTACGGAGCGTGGAGCGTGCTCTCCGTGCTATGTGTGAAAAATGTAACAGAAATTCTTACGGAACCCAGACCCAGACACTCGCTGACAGCGTCACAGTCACAGTCGCAGTCGCAGTCGCAGTCACAGAGTCAGAGTCACCAACAGCGCCTGGCCTGGCCGAGTCGTCAGAGTCGTCCGTCAGAGTCTCATCAGTGTCGTCTGTGTGCGCGGTCGGAGCGAAACGCGGGCGTTGCAAACTCATTTCGTAAATGGAAATGTGCTGGAGACGCAGACGGCGCGGCAAGCCAATCAAATGAAATTTATTAAATTGAAGAAGACGTGCACAGCCCAGCGAACGGAAGTGAAAAGTTACACACATCCCAGCAGACATACGAGACGAAAAAACAACAACAACAGCCACTAGAAGACACACACATACACACACGTGTATATAGTGTGCACAGACGAATAAACTAATCGCAAAAGGTAGCTAAACGAATTGCAGTCAGAAAATGTATCTGTGAAGTAGCCATAAATGTGTGAGTGTGTGGGAGTGGTAGTGTGCGTGCTCGTGTGTGTATATAGTAGTCAAGTGCTTGAGTGGATGTGCGTGTGTGTATATGGAAGTACACGCCTTTCGAGTGCAGCAGCCGCAGCCGCAGCAGCAGCAAGCGCAGCTTTGACTGTGTTTCTTTTTTTTTCTCGCAGTTTTCCCGCAGCTCGAATTGAACACAAATTGTTGACTAGGGAAACAGGAAATGTGTTCCAGACTAACTGTCGTCTGCCTAATTGAGCCGATTTTCCCATATGCGCACACAATGCGCTGTCTGGCCATTTGCCAAGTGCCTCATATCAGGTCAATATCCTTTGACCCAATTATGGCAGCGCACTATAAATTCATAAGCTAAGCCAATTGACAGCGCTCCCACTACTCCCACTGCTGCTGCTCCTCTGACAGTGTCAACTTGCCTATAATGGACTTTAATTTCCGTTGGACAAGCGTGGACTCCCCCTCAGCCCCCTGACACATGGCACACGCCTCGCAGTTTCTCGAAAGGCKAAGAAAAACGGGAAAAATAAATAAATAAGCAAACGTTGCGTATGGAGTTGTAAGTGGGAGGCGTAGCCCGCCCATTAGTTGGTGGGCGCGGCAGTAGCCCAGTCAAAGGCCGAGCAGGAATACACACAGTCGCTCGCCCACTCCCTCTCTCTGTTTCTATCTCTCTCTCTCTGGAGTTACACACATGCGAAAGCTCTCTCGCGCACGCTTAACTCTCTCCATCTTTCCTCTCTCCCCGCTCTCCCCGCTCCTGATGGCGCCAGGACGTGCCTAACCTACCTTGCGTTGAATTCTATAGTAGCATAATAAAAGCACATGTGTGTGTGAGTGTGTGCGTGTGCGTGTGTGTCTGTGCGTGTGTGTGTGTGTGTGTGTGACAACGCGTGTGTAAGCAGGTGATTATCTGTTGCAGCGTCGTATTTATCTCATTGAAGCCGCTGTGACAGACGAACAGGCAGCGCGCTTTCAATTTCTGTCTCCCCATAGAGCGATATTAAGCGACAGACGACAGATTAACACACAGACGGACTGAGTACAATGGCTGAAATTTCACACAAGTTCAACAAAATTTCATATACATACATATATGTATATATGTACATAAATCGACTACGATTTTTAATCAGCCAACATTAACGACTCTCACTTTTTTCATACAAAATTTAACATACGAATTTC